GTTTCAGCTGCAGCCATGTGAGGGAACAATTACAGCACCAGCACTCAGCCAGATTAATCACAGGTGTGTGAGCCCAGTACCCTAGACAGCCTTTTTGAATAGGAGAACTTTAAATTAACAACAGATTGAAACCAAGTGTGGCCCTGGCTAGGTAGCTCAGTTGGATAGTGTTGTCCCAATATGCCAAGGTTGCAGGTTCAATCCCCAGCCAGGGTACATACAAGAATCAGCCAATGAAGGCATAAATAAGTGGAATAACAAAATGATGTCTCTCTCTCTCTTCTCTCTCTCTCTCTCTCTCTCTCCCTCTCTCTCTCTCCTCTCCCTCTCTCCAATTAAAAAAACAAAACAGAAACCAAGTTACATCACTTATGATGATTCCAGTGAACTTCTGCCTGTTACAAGAAAAAGCAAACCCCAGAACATTCCTAAGGCTTTACTTTTGACTGCTTAAGACAATATGTGATTTGAGAAGGGAGGGAGAAACATGAGAATTAAATTTCTGGCCAAATAATGTGGCATATTGAAAGCTGACTGAATCTTAGAAATAAAAGAACCAACAAAAATTAATATTGATTTTGTGTACATCACAATAAATGGAGTACTCTTTTTATATTGTACTAGAGGCTGAATTAGCAGATTCCATTCCATTTAGAGTAAAATTTCTTTAAAAAAAATCTTTATTGTTGAGAGATATATATTTATTACCATTTTATTGTTTACATTTTTCTTCCTCTCCTCCTCCTCCTCTTCCTCTTCTTCCTCCTCCTCTTTCTTCTTCCTCTTCTTAAAGAATGCCCTTCAACATTTCTTGTAATACTGGTTTGGTGGTGATGAACTCCTTTAGCTTTGTCTTGTCTGTGAAGCTCTTTATCTGACCTTCAATTGTGAATGATAGCTTTGCTGGGTAGAATAATCTTGGTTGTAGGTCCTTGCTATTCATCACTTGAATATTTCTTTCTTTCTTTTGTTTGAGTTAAGCAGAAATTTTATTTCCAAGCTCTTCAAAAATTATTACAAATACAAATAAAGTTTCCATTTTAAAGTGTCTCAAATTAAATCAAAGGCACATCATCAAAGTAAAACACTTATGACATTAAGAATCCATTTAGCTTGTAAGATTTTCACATTGCTTTGCTTTTAATCATTTGCAGTGTTCTGTAAGTCACATTTTAAACATTTCAAAGCTATGAGATAATGTAGTGTTTTTTTTAAAGTATAACCACAACTATGAAGTAGAGGAACTTAAATTACCATGCTCTTTTATTAGTGTAGATTTTGTACTGAATTAGCAGATTCCATTCCATTTAGAGTAAAATTTCTTACAAAAAAAATCTTATTGTTGAGAGATATATATTTATTGCCATTTTATTGTTTACATTTTTCTTCCTCTCCTCCTCCTCCTCTTCCTCTTCTTCCTCCTCCTCTTTCTTCTTCCTCTTCTTAAAGAATGCCCTTCAACATTTCTTGTAATACTGGTTTGGTGGTGATGAACTCCTTTAGCTTTGTCTTGTCTGTGAAGCTCTTTATCTGACCTTCAATTGTGAATGATAGCTTTGCTGGGTAGAATAATCTTGGTTGTAGGTACTTGCTATTCATCACTTGAATATTTCTTTCTTTCTTTTGTTTGAGTTAAGCAGAAATTTTATTTCCAAGCTCTTCAAAAATTATTACAAATACAAATAAAGTTTCCATTTTAAAGTGTCTCAAATTAAATCAAAGGCACATCATCAAAGTAAAACACTTATGACATTAAGAATCCATTTAGCTTGTAAGATTTTCACATCGCTTTGCTTTTAATCATTTGCAATGTTCTGTAAGTCACATTTTAAACATATTTGAAAGCCATGAAATAATGTAGTATTTTTTTTTAAAGTACAACCACAACTATAAAGTAGAGGAACTTAAGAAGACAAAGATCAGATCTGTGGCATACACAAAACGGGGAGATCTAATACACAACACATTAATCTTTCCAAACAAGTTTGCTAAGAAACAGCTTTCATATTTAGTGTTAAAAATAAAACAATCTTCTCACTTACAAAAGTCAAGACATCACTTGATTAATAAAGTCTGTTCTTCCCCCAAATTTTACACTGTCTTGCCTTCATTTAGAAATTATAAATTCATGAGAAAAGAACACATTTTGTTATGGTGTAAAAATCTTAGGAACAACAAATTACAAATATTTAAATTTTTAATAAAAAGGTTTTCCTGCCGTAAACCGGTTTGGCTCAGTGGATAGAGTGTCAGCCTGTGGACTCAAGGGTCCCAGGTTCGATTCCAGTCAAGGGCATGTACCTTGGTTGCGGGCACATCCCCAGTAGGGAGTGTGCAGAAGGCAGCTGATCGATGTTTCTCTCTCATCGATGTTTCTAACTCTCTATCCCTCTCCCTTCCTCTCTGTAAAAAATCAATAAAATATATTTTAAAAAAATGTTTTCCTTCCCAAAATGTAAACATCCAGTAAATAAAACATACATAACATTTCAGGCCTAGAAACACTAATAATTCACTTATGAAAGAGGTGCATTTTTGTATATTTGGTAGTAAGGTTTTTGTTTGTCTTAAGTATAAAGCACTTCACCAAACAAACCAGGCCATCTACACTAATAAAAGACAAAGATGTTAATTGATCATACCTTCGCTATGCCCAAGTCACGCCGCCCAGCCAATCAGAGCGACTATATGCAAATTAACCCAACCAAGATGGTGGCCAGCAGCCACGGAGCTGGAGCAAGCAGGAGGCTTGGTTGCCCGGTGATGGAGGAAGCCAAGCTTCCTGCCTGCCCTGGCTGGCTGTGGCCTCCGCAAAAGGCAACAAAGTTTCAATTATAGAAGCTAAATAAATCCCAGATACCTGCTTCCAGCCAGCCTCCACTGGGAGCTTGGGTGGCTGGGGGC